TTAATAATACAGGTCTCAGTATAATCCAGGGAAGTGTAAAAGCCTATCCCTCTTACAAATGGTCGAATTCAAGGTGTCCTTCCTTCTGAACATGCAAAATGTTAATATGTGTGTGTTCTGCGACTTGTCACACACACATTGTACGCCTGTTCTTCTCACTCTTTATGTATCTTTACGTGTCAGCCTGGCTCAGTTGGTGGCACTCTCGCCTCTAAGTCAGAATGTTGTGAGTCCAAACCCCACATTGGAACTCGAAATTCATATAGTCTAAGTTGAAATTGCAATGTAGTGATGGGGTGTGCTGCATTGTCAGAGGTGGCGTTCTTTGGATCAAACGTTAAACCAAAACTCAGTCTGCCTGTTCAAGTGGATGTTAAAGATCACATTGCACTGTTCAAAAGAGAAGTGTGTTTCTCCCAGGGTCTGAACCAACAATCCCCCACAAAAAAATTATCGCACTTCATGGCTGTTTGTGGCACATTGCTGTGTGCAAATTAGCTGCTGTGTTCATCCACAAAAACAACAACAAAATTACATTTATAGAACGCCTTTCACGTCGGGAGGACACACGATTGTCATTTCACTTTATAGTGTATCCAGTGAAATACTTTGGGACATCCTCCTGAAATGGACAGTGCTGTATCAAATACAAAGATTATTAATATTAAATACAATTAGGCTGCCTGTCGATGTCCCCTAAATGATGTACAACCACAGAGAGTGTGGGGAGATGTATATATCTGCTCACAAGAACAAAATGTTAATATCTGTCATGAGAGCAGCTCCTGTACCTCACAGGAAAGGTGAGAAACTATCAAACTGTGTTCATGGTTCTCCCTCCTTTCAAGAGTAGCATAGCCTTAGCATAGGGTGATGAAAACAGAAGGTGTCCAAAAACACATTAAAAGGCAGGCAAAATATTAATTTGAAAAGTAAAATTACTTTGCAAAGTGTGGAAAGCTTTTAAAGATTTAAATTGAATGGAAAATAGGAACAGGAATAAGCCTTTCAACCTGCTTCACCTTTTTGTCCACCACAATTTTACAATTCAATTTCTTTAGCTTTTCTTCATATCCTTGCTTACCAAGTACCTATCTCTCTTGTGAATGCCTCAATTGATCATGAATCTATGGCTTCCTTGTGCAATCAGTTCCTTATTCTCAAGACCCTGAAAGTTTGTTGAATTAAAGCAGTGGAAAGCACAACAATTTCATTTTGCTATAGTGCAAGANTTTTTTAATCTCGAGCTTTCAATGCCCAATTCCAGATCTGTTCCTGCAATCCTACAGTAATGATGTAACAGATTAATCCTTCATACACTGCATCATTATGGACTACTTTCAGATGCCCAAATTCACACAAGACTGTACAACAAATTAACACTTTGTCCACTGGACAATAAGAAACACTTTATTGGGTGTATTTATACAAATATTCTCTCACCTTCACCACAGAGCAAATCTTACTGAATTTCTTTATAACACTGCTATTCAAATTGTAACAATGAGTGAGTGAAGTGTAATTACAGAGACTTTGAACTCACAGTCTACACTGACAATCCCAGCAGTATGCTGGGGGAATGCCACATTGTTAGATGTGCCATCTTTCAGATGAGATACTAAACTGAGGTCTCTTCTGCCTATTCAGGTGAACTTTAAAGATCTCTTGGCACACTATTCAAAAAGAGATGGGAGTTTCTCCAATTGTTCTGGCCAACAAGTCCCCAGAGAAATAAAATGATCTTTCGCCTCCTGGTTGTTTGTGCGATATTGCTGTCCATAATTGATTACTGCGTTCTCCTACAAAAATAGGCACTACACTTTACAGTAAATCATGTGAAGCACTTTGAGATGCTTCAACATTGCGATAAAGTGCTACAACAATTACAAGGATTATTAGCTAAACCCGGCTGCCAATTGCGCACAGCAGTGTCCCACAAACAGTTGTGGATTGATTGAGCAAATTTTTTTTCATTTTTAAGGGATTATTAGCCCCAGAAAAGTGATCCGCCAATTGACTAACAACCGGATTGCTACTTATTGCTAGGTAAACAGAGACATGTGGAGTAAAGAAACTTGCCCAATGGTTTGCTCTGCCCGGGAATCCAACCCGGCGAGGCAAGTGCTCTAATCACTAAGCTGCAGAGTGTGGTCCTAATTTTTTTTTATTCCCATTAATGTCCTTTTAGACGCATTTTATTTTGAATTTAGCAGATTTCTCTCATAGTCATTGGAACAAGTTTTCTGTTTTTGTCTAATGACTAATATTTATTTTATTTTAAGTCCTTGCCTCTTTGACAGAATTCACAGAGCAGAAAATCTGTTGTTTTCACGTCATGTTACTCAAAAATAAGGGATTAAGCTCCTTTCAGGCAGAAACAAAATCACAAGCTCCGTAAACATGTAGTGGCTCAAAAAGTAGCCAATAATATTTGTTGTAATCTTATTGCAAAACACTCCTTTCTGCATGTTTATTTGGTGACTCACATGTCATGTTCCTCTCCTTCTTCTAGATTGGTGGACAGCAATGGGAATACTTTGTATCTTTCTTAACTTGATATGTCACAATCAATGCTGTTTCAATAACAGTTTCATAATTAAAGTAACAAAACATTCAGTTTGACAGCAACAGCAATACAAACTAACCCTGAATTTAAAAGGTGTCTCCACTACATGTCACATTTCATCTGGACTAATAATGGTGGAGCCCACAAATGCAAACCTTGATCAATGAGGAATGTATATAGAAAACAGTTCAAGAGTCTGAAAGGTTTTGAGTTTAATTTCCTTTCCCTACATATACTAAAACATATACATATACTAAAACCAGAAATATATATTGACGTATTATTTTCATGTGTCAGTGCTTCCAAACTTTACAATTACTATGACATTTAGCACTGTTTTGAAGCCTGGATGCATACTCAGCAAGGATTAATACTCCCACACACAGAATTTCACATAAAATATATCAGTTTTTGATGTGCTGGCAGAAGGAACACAGTCTTGCAGTTCTGATAACTAAACACCTCAGTAGCCTGGTTTAGGATAAATCATTACCAGAATACATTCCACCCTCATAACTCAACCCATAGATATTGATTACTTTCTCAGTACTGTATCATGTTTAGCATCAACCTCATTGCTTTTCAATGCTGCTAATACGTACGTAAAAAAAAAGACAAAGGTAACTGAACTAGTTAGCTGTACACACCACTTGTTTTTTTACGTAAGAGAACAGTCATTCCTCTGATGTGCTCTCACTAATTGTTATTCAATTGCAATTTATACATACATACACCTGCATTCGTCACTCGGTTTCAGATTAAAGCCATGAATTACTATGATCGTGAACCAGTAAATAGCCAAAGCACCTTTGGTATAATATTGCAAAATAAGTGTTTGTCACAGAGTAGCCAGTTTCTCTGGGAACCTCTTGCTGGTAATTTGCAGGATCTCTTTGTAAGATTGTGCATTGGCAGATTTAAGAAAGTCTCTCATGCCAGTGAGGAACTGTCCCCAGCCCTGGGGAGTGAAGCAGGAACTAGTCACAGCCACAAAGGGCTGAGTGAGAAACTCACTACCCACCACCACCAGAAGAATATGAGAAAAGACCCAGATACATGCTTTTCCTGGTAGAATTTCTCCCCACGTTTGCTGTATTTAACCGGAGCATTTTAGAGATTTTTTAAAAAATTTTTTTTTGAAAATTGTGGCATTCACTTTTGACTTTGAGACCAATTTTGTGCAGCTCTTAAAACGAAACTTACAGACCAAATGGCTTCAAACGTAATGACTGTGTGGACACATTCTGTACTTCTGAAATATTACGTTAATGGAGTAAATCTACACCCAAGTGAAATGTTACCCCTTCCAGAGGATAAAGCCCTCTCCCCCCCCCCCCCCCCACCCCCCACAAACAGGGGGTGGGTGTGCAAACAGGTTGTGAAGACTCCTCTCCCAGACCCTGAAGCTCCAACAGTTTGCCATTGCCACAGGAGTGCATAGAGGGGCTCGTCCCCCCCCCCTACCCCCACACACACCCCACCCCCGGGTTAAAGGCAAAATAAGGAAACTCTTAGCTTATTGTTTTTTTTAAAAAAAAACAATTGATTTCCTTTAATCGATCTGCACGTTTAATTCCTCCCAAAGATTTGTTTGCGCTGTGGATGCGACCGCTGTATCTGAGCTGCAAATCAAACAGTGCTGAAGTCCTGTGAGTTGCCAGTTCTTGTGTGTGTGTGAGAGAGAGGGAGAGAGAGAGACATGTGTGTGAGACAGCATCACTCTGGGATTTTAAGCCACAATACTCAGTGGGGACACAACAATTAGGGACTGGGTGTCTGTTAAATAGTGCCCCATCCTTTATTGTGACTGTATTGTGACTATCTGTGTACAGACCAGTGTCTCAGCTTCTCGAATGAAATCAAGGTGTGGCTTTTGGACACGAGTCTCCAGCGACCCCACAGGAGACCCGAGACTCCTTCGGTTATTTCCACCAACTGCTGCACGTCAGAGGGTCCAACGGACACCACAGTGAGTGAAGGGGGAGCGAGAAACTGGAGCGATCGTGGACCTGTCGGTCCGGTGTTCGCGGTGCAGAGCTTCTGTGTGTGAGTGAGTGTGTGAGTGAGTGAGTGTGTGAGTGGCTCCACTCCAGCGACACAATGAGCGCTCAGTCAGTCAGTCAGTCTCTGGCTCTCACAACCAACCCCATCAGGACCGCAGACACAGCACAGTGTGAGCAGGTGCCCCGAGACCTCCAACACCCAAATAACACACATCACTCCCCCCCACCACCCCCTCCCCCAACCCCCCCCCCCCCCACACACACACACACACACACACACACACGGGGTGAGGGGCTGCTGCTCGGGGTGAGGGGCTGCTGCTCGGGGTGAGGGGCTGCTGCTCGGGGTGAGGGTGGGGGGTGGGGGGGGGGGGGGTGTTGACCACCTGCTAAATGTAAAATGCATTCGTTACAGTTGCCGTTCTACTCACACAAAAGCGTGATAGACCAGAGCCCAGCCCCCGGGTCTCTCCAGAGCATCGTAGAGAAAGTTCTGCAGTTTCCTGTAGGTGGCTTTCCTCTGGGTCGGTCGGCCGTAGCCGAGGGGTTTGCTCAGGAGGCTGAGCCCTTGCCTGGAGCTCTGGCTGCTGCCCGCTCTGCCCCGTCTCTCTCCTCCCGAGATCAGCAAAGCGCCGTCCCGATCCGCCCCGGAGCTCAGCCCCAGCCCCAGCCCCAGCCCCGCCGCCCCGGGCTCGGGCTCGGGCTCGGGCTCGGGCTCAGCCTCGCTGGCGAAAGCCACTCGCAGTCTCTTGCCATCGCCATCAGCGCTCCCCGACTTGAGCCCCATGGCGAGCGGCCGCACCGATCCTCACTGAAGCCGAGCTGGGAGAGAGCAGGGAGGGGACCAATGCCATGGCTCGCCAACACACACCAGAGCCCGAGTGAACAGGTCCCATCAGAGTCTTTGGGGTGTGGAAAGCTCTCTCTCTCTCTCTCTCTCCCCTCCCTCTTTCTTTCTTTCCCTCCCTCTTCCCCCCCTCTGTGTCTGTCTGTCTGTCTGTCTGGCTTTCAGGCTCGCTTTTAATCAGACTGGGTGGACAGCATCACACTCTGTCTTGCTTATCTCTCTCTCTCTCTCTGGGAATCCATGTGCTTTTCCAAATGATGCAGCTCCCTCCTCCTCCTCCTCCTCCTCCTCCCTTTCCTTCCCTCCCCTCCCTCCACCAAAGAGCAGGTTATGATTTAATGAGTGCTTGTGGCTGTGTGTCGGAATCAGGGTTGGGCTGTGCTGGGAGGATTCTCCAGGAGAGAGGGATGGATGGAGTGTGTGTGTGAGAGAGAGAGAGAAGGAGGGAGGAAAGGAGAGAGGGACGATGCGGATGCTGATGCTGATGGTGGGAGCTGAAGGAGATGCTCTGGATCTAAGAAGAGGGAGAGGAGGAGGTGGTGGGTTCGCTTTGATCTGTCTCTCTGTCTCTGTCTGTCTCTCCTCCACCTCCCAACATACACACAACACACACACATACATGTGATCCATATTCCCATTTCAAAGCACAGTGGCATCACTTTGTTGGGATCTCAAGCAATCAATCTGAAAGGAAGTCTCTTTTGGATCCGAAATATAAATTGTTCCTTTTATTAAAAAAAATTCTCACACGTGCAATAATAAAAATAACAAATCCCCTTCGTCCTTACATTTGACACACCGCATTTTCAGGTCAGGCGGACGTCTCAAAGAGCTTCTCGGGATTTACTTTAAAGTGTAGTGACAGTGTACGTGGTAGGCAAATGGATGATCTCGCCAGCTAATTTGCACACAGCAATATCCCACAAGCAGTCACACCAGTCGTTTTGTTAAGTATGTCCAAGCCAACAATCCCTATTTTTATTTGATGATGATTCTTAATCGTTTCAGATAATACAAAATATATGTATCCATCAATAGACCATTGGAATGTTGTTTCTCCCCAACATTTTTTATTGGGGGGGTGGGGGAGGATTATTTCATTTTGTATTATATCCAGCATACAGCCAAACCTGTTTTCAGCAACCACTCAGGGGACTGGACCAAACTGGCCTTTATGTAAGGGTAGCCTTTGAGTAAGGGTTCGTTGGTGTGTGTAAGATTTCTAAGTGTATAGAAAAATACAGTACACAGTCAAACCCATAAATCAAACTAGTTCTAATGAAGTATTAAATCAGTTACAAAATACAAATCATTTTTATTTCTGTCAGCTAAAAATTTCAGTGGGTCTACTGTTAGACTCCTAGCACATGCCAACACCACACCGAGCAACCAATCGGACCGGATCCGGCTGCTGAAAAGGGTGTCTGTAAATCTACAGGGCTAAAGAAGGAGCCACTGGTTGTATTAGACAGGTGGTGGCTGAATAGAGATGGTATATTATGAAAAATCGTTCAGGACTGTTCCAGGGTGGGTTCCAGGGTGGTTGTTGACAGCAGATGGTTGATGAAGAGAGGTTGTTTCTTTAACAGATTTAACTGTTTATGTTATCCCAATAGAAATCAGGGTTGTTAAACTACGGTGTTCTACTTTTATAGCTGTGCCATTTATTTCAGCATCTGTCCAACGTGAAGGTAACTAACCTGAACTCACACAAAAGCACTCATATTAAATGCAAATATTTTTAGCATTCACCTCACTAAAAATACAGTGCACTTGCTCTTACTTTTAATTGTTGAAAGCCGTGGCTCTGCTGCGACGGTTCTCACTCCTTGTTGTAGTTGGGAATTTTAGTAACATTTGCATACTAAGTGGCCTCAGTTTTTTCCTAACCCTGTCAATATGTGGAGTCCTGTAGCTCAGTGGTTAGAGCACTCGCTTTGCAAATGAGAGACCTGAGTTCAATTCCAGGCAGGGCGAAACCTTGGGCAAGTTTCCTTACTCCACACGCCTAATAATAATCCCTCCAAAAACAATAATTAAAATTGGTCATTTTCAATCTACGACTGTTTGTGGGACATTGCTGTGCGCAATTGGCTGCCGCGTTCGCCCACAAATATAGTCAATTCACTTTACAGTGTCTTCTGTGAAGCGCTTTGGGACGTCCTCCCGACGTGAAAAGCGCTATATCAAATGCAAGGATTATTATTATTATAATATGACTCCCTGCTCAAAGGTGTCTCAACTGAGTCAGAATTAGTCACTCAGACTGGTATCCAAACAGACTGAGTGACCAAAGCATTTGACAATTCGGACTGGGTACCCGAGCTGGGGGTGGAAACCGAGGAGATGAAAGTTGACTGAAAGAGGTACATTCTGAGGCACTATATAAATTATATTGTCAATCAACAACTGGGCCAAATGCCTCATGTGGAGTGTGGGGGGTAGGTGTTGGCTTTGTATGAGATCGCAGAACATCACTCGAAAAGAGTAAAGAGCTTCACCTGAGCTGACTCCCAAGATGACGTGCTCAGCAACAGAATGTCATAATTGAGTAAATCCTCTGTGGCTGTCTCAGGAGTAAGGTTCCTGAACCAGGTGGGTTCACAATACTCCAGACAGATAGATAATAGACCAGACAGGCTGGCTCATCAGCAGGACTTGGTGGGCAGACCTGTTACTGCGGGCAGGGATTCTTCCCACTCAGTTTTGTTGACCTTTTTGTTAAGTCAAAGCGTTAACAGATAGGGTGATATTAGCTGGGTACATGGGAAGTTTATCAGTGCAGTTTATGGTTTTTAACCCCAGTAGTATCCCCAATGTACACTCCAGGATTCTCTAGACAACCCATGCCTTATACTCTCCAGAATTAGGAGAGTGAAAATGAAAATACACAGCTAGTTCTGTTTGTTAATTGATAATTAAGCAAAGTAATGGCGATGGAATTTAAATAATGCTAGGAGTCTTAAAAGTTCTAAGAGCAATAATAAGGGGAGACAGAGGAAGGGAAAGGTGACCATAGGCACTGTTGAAGAGGTAGATTTTAAGTTGAGATAGAGGAGTCGAGAGAGGGAGTTCCAGGGGTAACAATATAGACGATGAGGAGCATTTCTAGGGGATGTCAGCAATGCAGATCCATATGCTTAGTTAATGAAAAAGAAATGTTTTATAGTTGTAATTTTATCTTTTCGACACTCACTTATTTTATGAACCTTATTTGACTGCCCTGCATTATACAGAGACATGCACAGAATATAACACAACTGCAACTTTGTTCAGAAGAAAAATAGGTCTTGATTCGGATATAAATCTGTCATCGCTTGGTGTGAAGTAGTCTGTATAAAACCATCAATTGGAGAGACCGGTTTGAAACATAACAAGGATAAGTTGAATCAATAGGTGTCAAGTTAATGACTGCAAACCAATAATTCAGTATCGAATCAAAGAGGGAAAGACTTTTGTAAGATTCAGTATGAAGACAGAGATGATGTAAGTGCAAATAATGTAGATTAATTTTTACACTGATGGATAATCATTTTAGAAAATAAAATCTGCTCCTCCACTACCTCTTGTTGTTAAAGATACAAATGAACAAGGAGAGGGAAATATATACAGTGAGACACCTTTATATTACAAGGATGGGCCCAAACCCCACAAATAGGAATGTGGAAAAGCATGAATCTATTGGACATAAATCGGTGATCTCAAAAGCTGGAGCGAAGCTGGATTTTGAGTTTTGCAGGAAAATTACTCTGTGCAGGTGGAGCCTTCTACACATATATAGTGTCAACTAAGTCAATTGGCAGAATGAAGACACACGTGGCAGCAGTTGGAAACAGGCATCTGGAGGTGAAAGTTTTACATTTTGCTCTCAGCTCCCTGTCAAACTCCTCCCCAGCTTCTGTTCCAACTTGAGCCCAAGCTCCTGCCCCACTCAGTATTCAGGCCCGGGTTCCAGCCACAGCTCAAACATGAAACCTCAGTCTGAATAAACATTGCTGGGTCTCGGGAAAATCCTGGATACAGCTCTCATTGTCTATGTGTACACATACCTACACTCTGTCTATCAATATATAATATATGTAAAGATGTACGTTGTGGATTGAATCCGTAAATAAAGTACCAACATACAAAGCTCTGCTTTCTGCCTGATCATCTCTACCTCAAGGGAATGAGTGATATTAAAGAGAGGAAACATCATTGAGACTGATGCAGACTTTCTGATAAATCCTGTAATTGATGATTTACCACTTTATGAGTTCAGTCCTTCAACTGGCATAGCATTCAACGAAAGTGAGTAATAAAAAAGTACTTCATGGATGAGTTATATAATTCATCAACAAAATCCTGTTTAGTAAAACAGTGCACGTCAAATCTGAGCATGGAATCCTGATTTCATAACATAGCAAACAAAAAAGGAATTAAAACAATATTGGACAGCAGATAAGACCTGTGAACAAATGCAGCCAAACAATCATTACAGAAGGAAGCAAAAAGTGCTTCCAAAATACCATTTTTCAGAATGATTTGCAAGGCACAGCATGTGAAAGTGCAAATCAATACATTTCCAATATATATGATTCATGAACCTCAGCAATTATGAGCAAGCAATGTGGCAGCTGTCCACATAGAGATGTGAAATCAGTAGTTTCATGAGTTCTGCTGCTGAACATAATGTTGGCAATCAAATGGCATCAGGATTTTACAAAATTAATGCAGTTCATCCAGGTTACTGGCGGACCCCATCACTGGGCAAAACATAGTGGATGTGAATTAAAAACAACCCAAGTTAAAATTGGTCATTCACTTTGTGAACATTCCTGTGTGTA